AAGAACCGTGAAACACCTTCTACCTATACTACGACCCCGCTTCAAGAAAGAAACTAGGGTATGATTTTTTTTTTCTTCTTCTTATAATAGTACAATTTTAAAATAGCACTTTGCTAGTTACCTCTAAGTTTTATTTTACTTTATAGGTTGTAAATTCTTTCCCAGATTAAATTTTAGATACACATATTTTAAAATGTAAATTCAAGACAAAAAAATATTCAGAAATTCATTTTTATCAACATTGTGCAATTACTGGCCGATCCATTAGCCTAATCCCTATAATAGGAAAGAGTTATTTAACTAAAAATCAAATAATATATAAAAAAGTATGAGAATAAATTACTTTACACACACACATATATATATTCAAATAGTACCCATCAATATCAAATTGATTTAGAATCACTTCATATTTTTATACATTTATAAATAAAAGAAATAGTTAGTTCATTTTAATTCAAGTCAATTACTATTTGTTAATTTATAAAAAAAATATTGGTTGTTTTGTCAAATAAAAAAAAAACATTTTATCGCTAAACTAAATAAAAACATTTTATCATTAAACTAAATACAATTATAAAATAAATACCCGCGCGTAACGCGCGGGTCATTTTCTAGTTCTATATAAGATGAACATTTTTTAATTATTAAAAGGTGTTTCTTTCCTTCACACTGCTCAACACTACACTCAGAGAAGCAATTTATGCGATCATGGCTACGAATCTCCAGGAGTTAGTTGTGGAAGGTGTCGAAAGTACGTTGATATATCGTTGTTGATTCTTTTCTGCGTGATTTATATGCTTGATTGATTTTGGTAGATCGATTAGGATAACTCTTGGAGAATGTGGATAAATCTGGATTGGATTTGGTAGATCAATAAGGATAACTCTGGATTGATTTTCTCTTGTTGAATCTCTTGGGGAATGATGATTTTCGTTGATTCTCTTTAGTTTCTTCATAGAAGTAGCTCTTTGAAGTGGAGAGGTTATTTGGGACTCGAAGTTGATTCACATTATTTGTATCAGGTTTCAACGCAACGTAATTATTTATACTCTCTC